GACGAGCTAGGTGCGCTTGGTGCAGACGAGCTGGGTGCGATTGGTGCAGGAGAACTTGGTGCGCTTGGGGCTGATGAACTTGGTGCACTTGGTGCAGACGAGCTGGGTGCGCTTTGTGATCCAGAACCAGATCCTATGCCTATTCCTAAGCCGAGTCCAGCGCCAACTCCTAATCCAGAGTCACTTCCTTTACCTGCTCCAACTCCTAATCCCAAACCTACTCCTGCACCACTAGATGGTTGGGCAGAACTTGGTGCGCTTGGGGCAGACGAACTTGGTGCGGGAGAGCTTGGTGCACTTGGTGCGGGAGAACTTGGTGCGCTTGGTGCTGATGAACTTGGTGCGCTTGGGGCAGACGAGCTTGGTGCACTTGGTGCAGGCGAGCTGGGTGCACTTGGTGCTGACGAACTTGGTGCGCTTGGTGCTGCAGAAGTGCTAGATGGTCTAGGACTTGGGCTTGGACGGTTTCGTGGTAGTGGTACAGGTATTCTTGGTCTTGGTTTTATTACTGGAACGCTTTCATCATCATCTCCTACATCTTCTCCTGCACTAACATCTAAACTTGCTCCTGAGCCTACACCTACTCCTATTCCTGCTCCAGATCCAATGTTGTTACCTGCACTTGCTCCTAAACTTGCTCCTGCACCTACATTGGCACCTACATTTAGTCCTTTTCCTACATTACGTCCTGCACTTGCTGCTACGTTTGAATCTGATCCTACATCATTACCGATTCCTAGACCGGATCCTATATTATGTCCTGCACTTACTCCAACATTAGAATTTTCTCCTACATTGCTACCTACTCCCATATTGTCTCCAATATCTTTTCCTGCGCTTGCTCCTATATTGGATCCTTTACCTACACCGCGACCAATGCCTACATTGGATCCAACATTTCGTCCTGCGCTTGCTCCTAAAGTTGCTCCTTTTCCGGCATTGGATCCGATGCCTACATTAGATCCAATATTTTGTCCTGCACTTAATCCTATATTAGACCATTGTGCTGCGTTGTTAGCTATTCCTAGACCGGATCCTATATTTTTTCCTGCGCTTACTCCTACACTAGAATCTTCACCTATACTGTTACCTATTCCTAGATTTCCTTCAATATTTTTTCCTGCTGTGGCTCCTATATTAGCTTCAGAACCAGCATTTTCGCCAATTCCTAGACTTGATCCAATATTACGTCCTGCAGTTGCTACTACATTTCCTGCTTTTCCTACTGCAGAAGCTATTCCTAGACCCTCTCCAATATTGTTTCCTGCATTGGCTCCAATACTAGCTCCATATCCAACTGATGCTCCTATTCCTGCACCAGATCCTATATCTTTTCCTGCTCTTATTCCTACACGTGATGATAATCCTACTGAATTGCCGATTGCTAGTCCTGCTCCTATATTGTTTCCAGCACTGAATCCAACACTGGCACCAGCACCTACTCCAGCACCTATTGCTGGACCAGATCTTGCACTTTTGGCTGGACTCGAAGATGGTAGAATCTGTGTTATTTAACAATTTCATTGAAATCAACAGTTATCTATTTTTATAAACGATCAATTGAATATTATCTAAGATATTTTGTTTCGTATTACTGAACTTACCGAATATGCTGAGGCCGAAGCCACTAAGAAGAGTAAAGAGGATGCGAAAAACTTCATTTTCGCTTCTTTCTATCCCACTTTCGAATTAGAATGCTACACCTTGATATTTATACTCAATTTCTGTATAATAACTCATTTGTTATATCCAATTTGACAAGTGGTATTGAAATAATAACAGATGTTCTGTCAGCTATTAATGATACCCTGAATGATGTGTAAATAGCAACATTATTTGTATTACATAAATAATACTTTCTTCCGTATACATAAGTATAATAATTCGCATAAAAATGTCTGTTGTTATCAACTATTCACATATATCTTAATCTCACTTAATAATTGGTTATTTCGAAAGTTTTAACGTACATTGTTAAATACACTTGTACTTGCGTATTTTTAATTACGTCTTTATTGGGATAACAATCAGATGTAAAACTTGTTACATAAAACGTTCAATTTGTTCATTGACAATGCATTTTAAGAAATGTCATTTTTTTTCATAGTAAGTTACATTTTTTTAAAATCACAGATAGATCATTTTATTTCATTTTATTTTATTTTAATTCTAAGAACTCTTTGAATCAAAGAATTTCGAATGAACGAATTAGAATAATAAAACATTTGATATTTCACGAGATGGTCGGTGAGTGGTGGGTGGGTGGTTTTATTCAACATAGGAGGTATATGAAATATTTGTTAACTATAAGTAATATAATAATCGAGATTAATACGTGTTACTTTTTAATGTAACTAAAAGGAAAGAAGAGAGTTACTACCATGGAATCACGTTCGCGTAGTATTCAAGTTTGCAAGCCGTTAATAAGGCGTCGATGTAAAGTCGGTGTGTGCAATTTAAAAGGCCATTTTCTTGGCGCGAGCCGTTATGAGATACCGGTATATCGGTCGATCTGAAAGCCCCTTAACAGCTTCTGTTTTCGGCAATGAGGATGTCAGACAAGTTACGACACGAGCAGCAGGTGTTACGCAGAGATTCACCAACACTACCAGTTTAACTACCAACCAACCAACCAACCTACCCCACCTTCCCTCTTACATCCCACATTCCCTTTACTTTTATTTTTTTTTAATTCTTTTTCTTTTTTTTCTTTTCTTTTCTTTTTTTTTCTTTTTTTTCTCTCTCTCTTTCTCTTTCCACTTATCGTTTTTCTTTGATCCTTTTGGTTGCCTTCAGCACACCGGTAAACTCTTTTCCTCTTCTTCTTCTTCTTCGTGCTACCGTCTGCTGATCGAGATCTTCTATACCAAACCAAACTCACCAGCAGCAGCAAACTCTCTCAGATCGGAGAATCTTCCTACTGAATTTGCATTGCTCCAGGATATTCGATCCAGTTTGTTAGAAACTCATGTGAAATAAAAATAATAAAAAAAAAAGAAAGAAAAAGAGGATTTATTTATAATAATAATAATAATGAAAGTTTTTGTAAGCTTTTTATTATCATTGTTATTATTATTATTATTATTCCATTGCAACGTCAAGTAACTTTATAGTCAAACGATTTATTCCCTTATTTTCTCGTATATTTTTTAACAAATTTATTTTCTCGCAGAAATAATTCTCAGTTCGTATCGTAGGGAATTAATATGTATATTTTTTTTTATAATTATAATATATTTATATACACGCATGAATGATGTAGATAGACAAGAATGTAGTTATTCATATCATAAATTATTTTAATTTTTATAGACACGAAATTACAACGATCATTACATTTAAACTATTTCTTTCAATAATAATATTTAAATGATAAATATAAATTAAATATCTATTTCCTAAAAACGTTTTCTTTCATCTCTAATCATATTTGAAAATGTTATCAAATTTATTTCGATATATTAAAATAAGAATATAAAAAAAAAAACGATAAAATATGCGCGCCTGTCTACAGGCAACCAGACATACTTTCAAGTATAACCTTTGTCATCTCACAGATGTTGTTATCCAATAATTTTTTACAGGTTAATTAAATTAGAATCAATCAATTACGATCAACGTAGATGAAATAAAAACAAAAACAAAAAGAAGAATAAAAACACGAAGAAGTAGAAGAAGAAACTAAAATAGAAATAAAACAAAAACAAAATGGGAATAACATGAAGATCAATTTGATCATCGTACTCTTTTTATTTCTCTCTTTCTTTCTCTATTTCTTATTCTAACGTATGATTAGGTCTGTACGATCGTTACGACGATCGTCCCTGATCCCGAAGTCTTGGCACAAACTGCAAGGCCGCGAGGGAGAGTGTCTTCGAGGGCTTCAAGGTCAACGATAGTATCGAACCAGAATAGAAGGAGAACGAATCGACAATAAGACAGACAAGGATAGATTAAGAAATAGAAAAAAAAATGAAAAAAAAAAATAGAAAAAGAGAGAAAGAGAGAGAGAGGACCAGTTCGTTGCATAATTGCGTCACGTTGTCCAGGAATCACTAGCCGAGAGAGACGTGAGTACCAACATGAGTTAGTGAAAAAAAATTTCTTGGCAAACTGGATTCCCTCGTTTCATTCGTGTGAGTAAATCTTTTCCTCTTCGTGATACAGTCTCTCTCTCTCTCTCTCTCTCTCTTTCTCTCTTTAGTTTTATACAAACTCGTGTGTAGGTGTATTCTCAGAGATCATAGTCTTTGCGAACGAACACGAGGAGGAGTTTCGCGTAAACGTACACGCGTTTTTTTCTTGTTGTTTTTCTTTTGTTTTCTATTTAAAAATGTTCTTTTTTTTGTATTTTTTTATTTAAAAGAAATAATAATAGGAGGAACAATTATATTGTAGAAGAATCCTCTCTTTCTCTGTGGATCGTTCATCGATCCAGAATTTGCATTCCAATTACGAACGATCCCAGCCATTTCGCATTGAGATCATCCTAGTTTCTTTCCCCTATCAATGTGGTTATTTTTATCCATCTACAGTGATATATATATATACATCGATTGAAACTTTAATTTGGTGAGAAGAAACGTTTGATTTGTTTTTTTTTTTTCTCTTTTTTTCTTCCCCCATTTTCTAATTAATTGGGGACAATTACATTAGGTCTATCGAAAAATTTTGTCCGTTCAAACAAATACTGATTTAATTTTTTACCTTTAGGGATAAGACATTTTTGAAGTGTAAACTTCTTTAGAGTAGAGAGTGATTTGACAAAAGTGTTTATTTTTCAAATTAAAAAGACTTTATTTTTTATATATCTGTTTAACAATATAAAAAATTGGCAAACTAGAGAAAAAAATGTTAAATTAAGCAGACAAAAGGAAGATTCCAGAGTTCAACAGAACGTGTTCGAGCATTTCGTGCACGCCAGAAGAAGGCGTTATTAATGTGCAGAATAATATCTCTAATGTGGGTAATAATGCGTTCACTGTTAGAAATAGTGAAAACGATCATCGTAAGTCATTAAATAACTTCTAATCAATATATTTCTTTCTTAATCCTTTCTACTCATACTAGACAAGCATAATCTCAATAGATCACTTTTGCAACATTATTTTTTATTTTCTATTCAGATAATACGAAATTGGATATTGTGAATTGTGATTCAAGTGTCTCTCGAACCGAAAATTAACGTCGAACAATTTCGTAAATATCTACAGAAAGAAAATATTAGGGAAGTTTCAAAGAATTCGACGAAACACGTTCGTGCATTTCGTGCACGCAGATAGGTGTTTAGTTACCATACATATTTTAGTTACCATAAGCAACTCGTCTCATTTTTTCAAATTGAGAACTTGCTTACTGTGTAATAGGTTATGTATTATATGTCAATAAAACGTAAAATAATTTTTGAATGTGGTAACAATATTATAATAATAATATTATAACAAATAAACCCTACAATTATCTTACACCTGATATTCTGCATTCGTCTCATTCTCTCGAAACTTAGTTTTTTGAAGATTTCACTTCTAACACGTGTGATCTACACACATGATATTTTTCTAATGGGACATATAAATTGTTATCACGTTGGCAAGTAGTTACAAATAATTATGGCAATTATATTATTCAATAAAGCTCATTCAAATTATGAAAATTGTATTCTAAAAACGGACAACATTTTCCGGTAGACTTAATATAATAAATATTGGGTTATGGCGAGAAAGTAATTTCGGTTTTCTAATGTGAAACAAAACTGAATTGTTTTTTATACAAAAAATGAACTTTAAATTAAATATCTACAAATTTCTAACATTAACAAAAGAATAACGAAACAAACATAACGCTATCTATTGATGCAAGCTGAAATTATTTTCTCGCCAACCAAATAGTTTATAGAAATAATTTTAATAAAATTATATATATGTATATAATATAGTATATAATATATAGATATAGTATAGTATACTAATATAGATCTACTAGTAATAGAGTAACCGAGTGAAATAGTGAGAGTGAGAGAGGGAGAGAAAATAAGAAAGAAATACAATAAATAATAGAAATAATTTTAATAAAATTATTTCAAAATTATATATATGTATATAATATACAGATATAGTATAGTATACTAGTATAGATCTACAAGTAATAGAGTAAGAGAGTGAAAGAGTGAGAGTGAGTGAGAGAGGGAGAGAAAATAAGAAATAAAAAATAAAAAAGATAGAAAGAGTAAGAGAGTGAAAAAGAGAGAGATGGAAGGATTAAATGATAGAGGAACGATTAGGAGGCCACGCGTGCATGCCTTTGCAACGGCTAGCATGAAATTATTAGCAGTGGCGCCAGTTATCTCGCCTGAACCACCTCTCTCTCTCTCTCTCTCTCTATCTTTTTCTATGTTACCTTTTTCCGAGCTTCCAATCGCCGCCTCCCACTCTTTTTCTTTTTTTCTACTTATCTCTTTCTCTCTTTCTCTCTCACTCATTCTATGTTACTATCTTTTCTTATTTTTTCTCTCCTCTTTATAATTCCCAAGATTTCTCACCTTACTACTTTTTCACATTAGTATATGTGCATGCATGTGTGTGTATATGTAATTTGTTCATATGTATCTCATATGCTAGATAGTGCAATTTTTTCATCTAATTCAGAGTAATATTTTTTTTTCTGTAGAAATGTTGTTTCATTTCTTTTTCATTTCATTTTTTTTTTGAATAAAATAAAAAAAAATTTTTTTTGATAATGTAACATATTTTATGTTTGTATATAATCGATACGAAATTAAAAAGAATCTATGAATAGAATAGAATTAATAAAATCTATGAAAAAGAAAATAAAGAAGAATTCTTAAAAATGATGTTAGTTCATAATAAAGATTTGTAAGAGAACTACACTTTCAAGGACTACGCCACTGTACTTCAGGTAATTGCTGAGAATTACAACCGTTCGTAGTCAAGGGGCCCCGTGCAAAACTCCACTGCCAGAGTAATCTTAGAGTTTCTCCGTAATCCAGCTAGTAGAAGACGCAACCTTTCGTCGGGTTTTATATTTTATACTATTTCACATTTTATTTTTATCATCTATAATATTATATATATATATATATATATATATATATATATATATTTATATGTGAGTATTATAATAAATAATATAAGATTGATCCTAAGTTCACAAGGCTTACGTGTTCCAATATAAATAAAAATAAATATAAAATAAATTAAGAAATTTATGAAATAAAAGTAAAATATATATAAATAAAATAAATTAAGAAATATATAATACACCCTGTATAAATTATCAAATATAATATACAATCATAATCGTGTTATCACACATTCGCGTTCACTATCTTCATTTAAATTTAAATTCCTAAAATTTAATTATTATAACAACAATTATATATAAACAGGGTGATCTGTAACTGGTGGTACAAGCGAAAAGAGAGGGGGTGATTTTACATGAACAAATAAATAATAAAAATAAAATAAAAATTATTCGTTTGAGGCTTTGTTTTCGAGAAAATCGACTTTGAATTTTCGCAAATTCACCTATATAAATATATAGGTTATTTCCGAAAAGTTCGTAGGCTATTTCCGAAAAGTTCGTAGGTCCGCTATAACGAGACATGATCAAGTGCACGCGTACTTTGCGAAAATTCAAAGTCGATTTTCTCGAAAACAAAGCCTCAAACGAAAAATATTTATTCTATATTTTCCATTTTATTTTTTTTATGTAGAATCACCCTTTTTTCGTTTGTACCACCAGTTACAGATATCATCCTGTATATATCGGATCAATTATAAGTTATTTACTATAATAACCAAACATAATTTTATATATATATATACTACATACCGATACAGACCGATATCATAAATCCTGTTAATTTTATTTTATCTTTTAACTAATCAAAACGTTTTTGAATTCTTTCTGATCGATTACTAAATCAGCTATTCAATCGGGAGCACGACATCAGAATCGTTTCACAATACTGAAGATAATAAAACAGAGACAGAAACAGAGTTTAAGAGAGAAAGAAAGATTAGGGTTAAAAAAGGAGAAGGGTAGAACAGGAGGTGGAGGAGGAGGAGGAGTAAAATCTATCAAGAAAAGACTGGTTAACGGTAGTTCATACCGATGTCAAACGATAAAGTGCATTAGCATTTTTATTTGAATTCTTTTCTAATAACGCGATGATACATCCTGAAGTTTAATTTAATCAAGTAGTTTTTTTTTTTTTTTTTTTTTTTTTTTTTTAGAAAGGTCCAATGAAAATTGAAATTTATTGATTGATTGATAAATAGTCATCTCTTTTTTTTCTTTTTTAGATTTAGATTTCACCGATAAGCTTTAACATAAGCATATAGGATATNTATATATTATATACTAATAAGTATGAATATATATATATATATATATATATATATATATATATATAAATGTATACATATATGTATGTATGTAAAAGTTAGAATACTTAAGTACCACGTGCTTATAAGTTACAAAAGTAAAGTTATAAGTTATAAAGGCGTCGCGTACGGGTTCTATGAGTTATAACTGCATAGATGGTAATTTATAAGTAACAACTGCCGAAGTTATAACACGCCCCAAGTCCAAGGAAGAAGAAGAGTTGCTTGTTGCTGCACCACTCTGTGGGCAAGGTTCTTCTCTTATCTATCTGTCGCTGAGATAGACGAGAATTGAACGTAAATTACAGTACGTGAGCCATCGACATCGATGAATTTAAATATTTCATGGAAAATCTATGTAGAAACCGGTTTTTGTATTCTCTCTTTCCATTTCTCTTTTATATATATATATATTTCTTTTAATTTTTTGGGTTTCTTTTCCTTTTATTAATTTATTTTAATGCAATTAGCAATTCTATCTATCGTCACGATGACAATCATATTTTCTACAAATGGTTTGTTATGATAAAAAAAATATTATTTGTCATTATCAATATTCGTAATCTTAAATTGTACAATTTTAATTAAATTTAAACTTCTTCGATTATAGTGAAAACAAAGTGTGCTTGTAAATTGTAATAGTGTACTTTAAGAGTAAGTAATGTAAGAAGTTGAAGAGGGGGTAAATAAAGTTACTATTCGTGTTCTCCCTATCTCGTTGGATTAATTTCAATATTAAAAAAAAAAAAAAAATGGTTTATTAATAAACAAGGACAAGTATTTTTTCTTTTTTTTTTTATATATATAATCCTCGAGTAGAAATTCGACGATGGAAAAGCGTGAAACGTGTAAACGTCGTCAATTCCTGCAATCGAATTTTGCACGCTTGAAGCAGAGGTGGAACAGAAGGGTGTTGAGGGTGGTGGTGGTGGTGGTGGTGTTAACGCATGCGCATGTGAGATACAAGCACGTGCGTTTCGAAACGTAAAAGGTAAATGAAAGAAAAGGATGTACACACATTTATTTATATATATAGAAAAGTATAAGAAGAAGGTGTAGGAAAAGATGAGAGTGAGAGAGAAAGAGAAGGATAAAGAAAAAAATAAAGAAAAAAAAAGTGATACGCACACGCGTTCACGTCATGGGGAATATTCAGTGCAACACGTAAAAGCCCGTTATGCTCGACGAGAAGAAGAAGAAGAAGAAGAGAAGGCTTAACGTTGAAGCATAGGCACATATGCATTAGCATGGTGTACGCTATAAATAGATGTAGCAGACCACGGAGATCTCAACAACCCCCTATCCCCCCACCTTCAACCCACCTTCCATCATTGCTTCTCTCTTCTTCTTCTTCTTCTTTTATCTTTGTTTTTTTTTTAATTTTTTTCTTTTTCTTACTAAACGTTAGACTGACTGCAAGAGTTAGAGAGACAGAGAAAGCACTTTCCTATCAAGTTTAATTCTAGTTTTTTTTTTTTTACTTTTTTTATCGTATCAATCAGATTTTTTTCTCGAAATTTTTCTTATCAACGGTAAGGTGCGATCTTCTTCAAGATGCGAATTTTTTAATATAAATTACTATTTTGTTAATGTTTATTGAAAGGTAGGTATTTTACGATAGATTTTGTTTTCTGCTGATTAAATTATATTTTAGATAGATATGATTACATTGTTAAAATTTTAAAATATCATTGAGATGTACTAAGAAATCTCAAATAATTTAGTAGTTGTAACAGACGCATTTTCTACCAGAAGGTATAACAATGGTGTAAGGGGTTGATGTTGTTGCTGCTGGAGAAGTTGGTGCGGCAGAGCTGCTTGGTGAATTAGAGCCAGATCCTACGCCACCAGATGGTTTACTTGGTTGGGCAGAAGTGGAAGAACAGGTAGTAGCGGTGGGATAGGTAGGTGGTCGGGTTGGTTTAGTTGGTGGTTGAGTTGCTCTGGTAGGAGGTTGAGTTGGTTTAGTTGGTGGTTGAGTCTGTTTGGTAGGAGGTTGAGTTGGTTTAGTTGGTGGTTGAGTCTGTTTGGTAGGAGGTTGAGTTGGTTTAGTGGGGGGATGATTTGGTTTAGTGGAAGGATGAGTTGGTTTGGTAGATGGATGAGTTGGCTTAGGGGTTGGTTTAGTAGATGGATGAGTTGGCTTAGGGGTTGGTTTAGTAGGTGGATGAGTTGGCTTGGGAGTTGGTCTAGTTGGTGGTTTAGTTGGCTTTTGAGTATGTTTGGTAGGTGGCTGGGTTGGCTTGGAAGTTGGTTTAGTAGGTGGTGGGGATGGTTTCTGAGTTGGTTTGCAAGTCGTAGGTTTTCCGCTTGAAGAAGGACTGCTAGTGCTGGATGGTTGTGCAGAGCTAGGGGCACTTGGTGCAGACGAGCTGGGTGCACTTGGTGCGGAAGAACTTGGTGCGCTTGGGGCAGACGAGCTTGGAGCGCTTGGGGCAGACGAGCTAGGTGCACTTGGTGCGGGAGAGCTTGGTGCGTTTGGGGCAGATGAGCTTGGTGCACTTGGTGCTGATGAACTTGGTGCGCTTGGTGCAGACGAGCTGGGTGCGCTTGGTGCAGACGAGCTGGGTGCGCTTGGTGATCCAGAACCAGATCCTATGCCTACTCCTAAGCCGAGTCCAGCGCCAACTCCTAATCCAGA